TCCGGCAGCAGACGATATAACTGGTAGCAAGTATATCCACACGTTACGACAAGTGTTTTCCCCGTTAGCCTCTCGACGAACTTGTCTTTCTTCCATTCGCTTGTTACACACACTATGAAAGCTTGCTTGTTCTTTGAGCTACACAGGAATCTTCTCCACTGTTTTACCTTGTGCTCGGTTTGAATGTTCCGGAATTCGCTCCCTGACCCTTCACCTCTCTTCTCCCTTTCTGCGTTCTTGATGGATTCTTCTCGGTAGTCATCGAAACCAACGTCGATCCTGTCACTTGAAGCACCTTCGTTTAGCACCATGCAAAGAAGACCTCCTGCAACTTTGGCAAATGACTTCTGGTCACCCTTCAGACGCTGGACCATATCGCTGGAGCATTGATTTTTGGAAGGTACCCCACGTTATCCTTGGAGGCTTCTTGGTCATTTCGTACTAAAATGTTAAAGCCAGTCCAGCTAGCTCTGTCTGCTGAGTTAGTTTGTGAGTGGATCGATGCCTTCCCTATCACTGTCAATGTGTCAGACCGTGTGGACTATATCTACTCTGCATCTACACCAGGTCAATCTGCACAGAAACAGCTCAATGAGGAGTTGAGGCACCCACGTGTCTTTGATGCAAATGATCGTGATCTCATTGATGCAGAGGTGGAGAAATACCTCATCCACTTGAAGATTACCGCCCTCATCTGTACAACCCAGTCACTGGCCAAATTGCCCCTACTGGTGTGAATGTTGCTGATTCGATTGTGATTGGAAGAAAGATGGAAAGCAAATACATCGCCAGTCTCCCTGATGGGTTCTACGACCCTATTAGTAGCCCCATCAAGAAAATGTCTGTTCTCACGAAGCAGGTTAAGAGCAACCAGGCCAGGCCAGTAATAGACCTTGAGAACATGTTTCTCCGGCTATTGATGATTGGTCAACAGCGGCAGATGGAGCTTGGACCTCTGTTTGCCTATGAGCTGTGTGCAGTGCCTTCATCACTCATTGATGAGCATGGTTATCTCCGCAAAGGCAACAAGTCAGGGTTGGTCAAACTCCTTGGTGTGCGTGAGGTCTTGCCGTCAGCTACTGACATTGTCATCGTGGATGTTTCACAGCTGTTCTACCATATTATGTGGCCACATGGTGGCAGTCCCTCAGATCTGATTGCATCTATTCAATGCCGTTTAAGTCGCTATCCAGATGGTATCGCGAAAATCATTNACATGGTGGCAGTCCCTCAGATCTGATTGCATCTATTCAATGCCGTTTAAGTTGCTATCCAGATGGTATCGCGAAAATCATTGTCTTCGACAAGTACCAAGATGTCTCGGCCAAGGATCATGAGAGAATGAGGAGGGCTGGTAAAGTTATCATCGACTATAAACTCTCCATTACCAGTTATCTGCCAAAAATAGCTGCAATCATGAAGAGCAAGAACAATAAGCAGAGGCTGGCAAGCGTGTTGTGTACCTTCAATGTAGGAGAAAATGCAACAATAGATACTCGGGACAATGGTGTATTTTGTCACGATGAAGCCGACATTACCATGATCTCCTATGTCCTTATGGCTGCTAATTATGGACAAGGCATGATCTAGTGTGTGCTTAGTGATGACACAGATGTGTTAATCTTAGTGGTGTACTGGGTGTATTGGGCACCACCGAGGTATGTGGCTGTCACAAAGAACATCTTTCATGCACGTCATACTGTATCTGCTCTGGTAAAGAGAGCTGCTGCAATCCATACACGAAGCGACGAAATGCTCAGGCTGAAGATGCGAATTGTTGAATAAGGATGTTGAGGGAGAGGATTTTGTGGAGGGTATAGATCGTGAGGGTGAAGACCATGTGGATGTTGAGAATAGTTTTTCTGAATCTGATTACCTGGATGATGAGTGGGAGTAAGCCAATGTTCATGCACTATGTACCATGACTGTGCCTACTGCAGCTAAATAATTTACAACCTACGTGTTAACAGGTGTGATTACATGTTTCAAATATGGCTTCTTACTGTTTTTTTATCGCCAAATATGTCAAATGATATATGATTATCCATTCCTGTGTATGAATAAACTAAAATGTAATTTAGTTGAAATTTTCATTCATTGTTCATTGCTGAAAAGTAAAATTTGACCTTGACTTGACCTTTAGCTTCTGACCCTGACCTTGAACCGGAAAAATAACGTCAGAAGTGGATTCTACGCACCTAAAACACCTATAAAAGATGTATTACACATCATTTTAGGTCAAGTGGTTAAAAAGTTAAATTTTGAAGATGGAGTCCAGCGGCCATTTTGGATTTGTGCAAATTACTAGAGTTGCCCAAAGTTGCCATTTGGACAACCAAGCTGAATTTGTTTTAGGACCCCATATGAGAA